CCAACAAATTATGTTCTTCTATATGCTTCACAATTGTATTCTTTACTATATTGTGTGTGTGAAAGTGAAATGGAAAAAAGACTAGGGTTTCTCTAAATATGTTGATAAGGAAAGGGAAAGTTCTGGTAAAAAGCCAGTAGATAGTACTATCTTTACCTGTTAGTGCACTGAGGTTACTTGTGAACATGAAAGGAGTATATCATATTCAGATGCAAACCTTATTATTCTATACTTAATCACAATTGTGGGATAATTCGTATTAGTAATACTGATGTAACTTTAGGTGCTGTGACTAAACTACACCTCATAATCGCAAAAATGTAAACATTTATTTACTGATATGAAGTGTTTGTTGTTACGCGCTTGATTTGATTCCTGCCCGGCCAAGTGCCAGTTTTTGAAATTTACAAGCCTGGAATAACTGCCCGCGTCTACACGCGGCAGTGAAACAGGCATTTGAAATAAAGCCCTATTATAAACTACCTGTTAAACCTCATTGCAGGAGGAATAACAGGTAGTTCGAAATAGGGCTTTATTTCAGACACCCGTTTCACTGCCGCATGTAGACACGGGCAGTTATTCCGGGCTTGTAAATTTCAAAAACTGGCGCCTGGCCGGGAAGATGCAAATCAAGCGTGGGATATTTAAATCCCAGGCTTGATTTGCAATTCCAAATGCCTACATTTGCAGCCCTATTCCGAAATAGTCTGCAAGTGTAGACATACCCTAATAGATTAGTAAGACATAATTTCCCTTTAAAGAAACAGAAAAGTTCTGTTATTTCATTGACTTTGGAATGTTTCTGTTTTCCATTTTAAGAAGCATATTTCATAAGGAAGGCTTTGGAATATGTTGAAATTGAACCAACACAATTCGGATTATTTCTTTTCTTTTCTTTTTTTTTTAAACAAAGCAACTTTGTCTTTAAAACAAGCTTTTCTTTTTGACTGATGTGTAGAATAAAATATTTTGAGGGTGAGGCTTTTAATAATGGCATCCAACCAGGGCAATGCATACAAAGAACAAAGAACACAAGAGTTGAGAGAATCCAGAAACAAGTTAAATATTTAAAAATAAAATTTTCATTGTCCGTCACCCAAAAAGGACGGTGCAGATTTGGGAATCTCCCTAACATCCTCAGCCATGAAGACTTGAGCATAGAAATTATTTAGTTTCTCTGCAATGGCTTTATTGTCCTTGATTGCTCCTTTTATATCTTGATCGTCTAGGGCAGGGGTCCCCAACCATTTGGGG